ACTTTATGAAAGAAAAGCTATCAAAGCCTTGAGAAGATTGGCTTGTGAGTTTTAAGAAGATACAAAAGTAGTTCTCTCCAAACCCAGTTTCTTACAGTTTGGTTTTTCCTTAACGGACTCCAAATCCAACTTGGAGTGAATATGCCAGCAAGAGCAGAGCATATCCCCGGAAAAGATGACACTCATATATTTCACCAGGTGTACGATGCTGTCCTGTATTTGGGTATCATTGACATATTGCAAGAGTACAACATAAGTAAGAAGATTGAACACGCATATAAATCCATCCAATTTGATTCAGTGTCTATCTCCGTAGTCGACCCTACATTTTATTCTCAAATCTTTTTAGAATTTATTCGGAAGGTTTCTCCACCAAATGCTATGGCAAGATAGAAGACACGATTGATTGTCTCTCCTGGCTTCTAGGGCCCCCATCGACCACGCTCGGTAGCTCGACATTTCAACTGTTTTTGTTTAAATTTCAATATTTGGTTAACAGAGGCAGGAAAGTTGTACTTCTGTGTATTGTCATTGAGCAGATCTGACTTGCCCCTTATTTCATGTAGCCGCAGTGTCCAAATTTTCATGCACATTTTGTTAAATGAATTGCCCATTTTTCGCCTTTCTTGCTCAAAACAAACTACAAAATTAACGAAAACAGACATCTTCAAACACATTGGTCAAGTATTTGGAGAAACATAATATGGGAGAGGACAATCAAACATTCTGGAACAACTTTGGTCTACAGTTAATAGATCAAAATACACCACTTCATCAATTGCTTTATACTTACGTTGTCTACAAGTATAATCTCATCCAACTTCAATTCTGATTAAAAAAAACATGTTGACATTAAATCTGCAAACTCCTCGATGCTTACGGTATAGAATGCACGAGACTCATCAGCCCATGTTGGGAGGTGGAGGGGGAGGATGTCCACCTTGGCCATGCATTTGTTGCCCTGAAAAACTTTGAGGTGGCTGCATAGGAGGCCTTCCCATTTGCATGCCAGGAGTAAAATTTGCCATTGAACCACTGCCAACTGGGGGAGGCGGTGGAGCAGGTAAATTAGCACCTGGAGGCATAGGGCGAGGCCCATTAGCCATAGGAGGCGGTGGCGGCAAAGTCCTGGGAGCATTTCCAGTAGGTGCTCCGGGAGGGAGTCCCTGTGGTGGAGGTGGTGGTGGTGGCAGATCTTGGGGTGGAGGCGGCCTTGGAGGGGCACCAGGGGCTGCAGTCCCATTGGCTGCAGGAGGAGGTGGAGGTTTATTTGCCTCTGGGGGCTTTGTCTTGAAGTATAACTGCAGCTGCATGTTCAGTTATCGCACGAAACAATGTCAGATGCATCCTCCAGTAAAACCGGGGAGATACGAATCCAGTTTAAAATGCATTTTATCCCAATGATCAGGCATTATAATCGTTCTCTGTCCTGCCTTGCAAGAGAAGAGAAGCATGTTGTTCATGCAACATCAATGGTGATATAAAAGGTAGGGGTTTGAAAATTTTCTGCATAAACTCATGTTGCTTATCTATTATTTTTGCATCTAAACAGTCAACACCAAGTCAGATTCATGATAAAGGAACAGCAAACATGAAATTTTAAAACGCTACAAGCTATAAACCTCGAAAATGGAAAATGAAAAAGAAAAAGAAAAAGAAAAAGAAAAAAAAAAACTAAAATGAGGAACACAATCATACCGTGAACATTTTAGAGTCAGGGTCCCAGTGTGAGAAAAACTTGGGGGTTGATTTATCAATCTCTGTACTTGGAACCTAAAAAAATTTACAAGATCAAAATTCAATCATTTCCAGATGACAAAGCGACCTTCTCTCTTAAACACACATACTGAGATCAAATTTACCTTAAAAGCAATAATTTCATATGGTTCAGCAGCAAACAAGAGAAACTGATATCTTTTATCAAAGGCTTGTATTTTCTGCATGCGGTATGAAAAGATGGTCAGTAAATTGGAAGTGCATCATTAGCTGAAAATTATGTCTTGGAAGAAGAGAATCAGCTAAAAAATCCGAAATAAATACTCGATTTGAGAAGCCAATATACCTGCTCAAAGGAAGACATAAATCGGTGACGTGGCTTTGTATTGTCTTCAATCTCAGGATATTCAATCTGAACCAAGTCATATAAATATAGATTAGGGTGCCACATCACTAAATATTGAGCAAATCTTCCATTTAGTGTAAGGCAACCGGACATCTGTGGACACATAACAGCTTCCCTGGTTCACCCATCCAAACAGCATTCATAATACCTAATCTTTAACTAGGCTTCTCACATGGCATTTGGTAGACACTAATATGAAGCTCAAAACACTGAAATTTTGCATTTATTATAGCCTTTAGTATGCAAAATTATAACTAGACGCCCATAAGAATCATTTATAATCCCAATATTGCTAGCTCCTTAAACTAACATAAAAATCACAGATGGTATCATATCCATCTCAATGGAATTGCCATACCCTATGATTCATATCCAAGTGGCTGCAGAACAAAGTGGAGTTCTGTATCAAATGTATTATCATGTACTACCACACAGTTGTTGTACATTGCATCAGGTAATACCAACGGCAGGGTCTAATTAAGCCATAATTAACCAGCTTGAATATGTAAAACATAAATCTTTAGTTTTTTATTTATTCATAACCCTATAGAGTCCATTAAAAAATATATTTGACGTTTACGTCTTGAATCCCGTCCCTTAAGTGCCATTTCTGAGGCTTAAACCTCAATTTACCGAGGCCGATACCTCAAGCACCTCACGGCAACTAAGGTGTTCAATAGTTTGTCTTGCATTTTCCAAACCTCTCTTATTACTGGTCTCCGCTTTTCAGGCTAATTCTTTGTAATGTTCTAGTGGTTTTATTTTCTTCTCTCTTTTCTACCTACATATAAGGAAGAGTGTAGGGAGAAAACACCATTGCTAGTAGAAAATAATGATAAAGAACGAGAAAAAACTTAAATTGATGAGGAAGATGATGCCAATGATTCTCTAAAAGATCATTCTAGTCTTGATGATTTTTAAGTTGTTTCTACTTTTAGTTAATAGATTCTAATTTGTTATGTGATTAATAATTTAAGAACTTATTATTTTCTTCTCTCTCCTCTACCTACATAGTAAAACACCATTGCAAGTAAAAAATAATGATAAAGTATGAGAAAAACTTTAAAGTAATGAGGAAACTGATGCCAATGATTCTCTGAAAGATCATAGTTGTATTGATGATTTTAAGTTGTTTCTACTTCTAGTCAATAGATTCTATTTTGTTACGCAACTACTAATAATTGATGATCTTATTATTTTCTCTTTATTAATATATATTATGTTTGTTTGTAAATTAGACTTGCCCTGTTTGATTCCACTAAAAATGTGGATTAAAATCTAATTCAAAAGTTAAACTTCTAATTTTTTGATCACACATTTCGTGGGACCCACAACATTTGAACCAAACATTCCATCAATTTTTGTAAAAATCTACTAAAAATCTGATTTTTATCTAAACCAAATAGGGGCTTAATTTTGTTAATTATGTTCATAATGTATTTTTTTAGTGGTGTATTGTTTATTATGAGTATGTTGTAATATTTTTATATATTTTTAAAATTATTTTATTTGAGGCTTATGCATCTCCTTGTAGAGGAAAAATATCTCGATAACTGATTAAGCCTTTCTAAACATTGATTAGGTCGCATGTCAAGGAGAGAGATTGCTTCCCTTCCCCATACTTCTCAAATACAATCAAACAACTTCTTTAATGAGCAGTCTACATCACAGTTGTCTTCTGATTGAAAAGATAATTTGAAGCTTAAGTAGAGTTAATCAAAGCATGTTTGGCAAAGCTTTTATTATACTATAAGTGATGTGTGGATAATAACTAATAATTGGTAGGTAAAAATTGTAAGACTTACGAGATATGTAGTTAAAAATAGAGTTCACTAGCTTATGAGCAATTATAAGTTTTGCCAAACCTGCACTTAGTCCGCTTATATTACTTTGTTGTGCAAGACAACATCAATCCCAATGTTTTCCTAACATAGATACTACTATATTCTTTATATTACAATTGTGACCTTGAACACGCAGACCCATTGTAATATTAATATTTTGACAAACCATGCAAATTATCCTCACTCTGCTCAACAACTTTGAGAACTGGAATTTCATCCTAATTCTTGTTACACAGCAACACAGGAAGAGCTTTAGTAGAAACTAAAGGAATTCATCTAGCAAATGTTGAACTGTTCAACGTTAAATTTCTTCTCAATCTTTAAACGAAATTAATAAATTTAACATGACGAAAATATGAATCTGTTGTAAAACATCTTCATCACATACAGAAGAAATCTTATTGGCATATATTATCTTCACTTGGATAATCATCATAAACAGATCCAATCAACTCAGTTCCTCCACAAATCAACTTCATATTGTCTTTATAAGATATAATTTTCCAGGCAACTTTTCTAGATATTCAAAGTTTCACAAATAACCTTGTGTGTTACATCATGAACATCAACACTTCTCGGTTCTAGAGTTTGTCTCAAAGGCTAAAGGTAATTCTTAATAGGGTTTACAATAATTACAATGTACAAAGCCATATTTTAGTTTCTGAAAGACACAGAGGGCTTAACTTGATTTAGAGTTATCTACTATAGGAAATTAAAAATCCTCAAAAAGATGTGCTAGACAAGTATAGTGTGGAAGAGGCGTATTATCATTTCAAAGAAGAGGGGAAGAGGGAACAACTGCTTCCGCACCTGGAAAAGTAGAGACCTCTGTTTCGTCTCTGGGTCGAATTGCTTTGTCACACGGTATCCAGGTCTACCAATTTTAACTGCCAGCATAACAGAAAGATGTTTGTCATGTAGAATAAGAATTATAGAGCCAGCACCTTCACCTTACTATTAGACAGCTTCTCATGCAACACAGTTAATTTTTCAATCCATTTGTTTAATTTTGCTTTCTTTAAAAACTAAATTCATTTAAAACTAGAAAACCATGAAAAGAAAACACATTTTGGGAATTGATAAAATGTAGGCTGCATGGTATGTGCCCTATGATTTATTTCCTTAACGCGTTTTAAAAACGGCGCAGTAACAATCATGAGCGAACAACAAAACCCAACATCAGTATATTGAATTCAACCATTTCTATATAGCTTAAAAAACTCGTTCATAGTAAATTAAGACCATAAAGCTGTCTACAAAATCATAGCTTCTAAAAAACCGTTTAAATTATAAACCACAACCTCAGGAAGGAATTCAAAAAACAAAAAATTCACAGCAATTTATTGACGAAGCTTAATTGTTACCGGATTTTTTAAGTGAGATTTTGCGCTTATGAGGCTGTGGCTGAGCTGGTGCCTCCTTGGCTTCACGAGCCGCTCGCTTGGCCAAGTTTGTCTGATGCCGCTTCCCCTGCGTGTGCGCCAAGTAATTCCCCTCATTGTTGTGCAAAGTCAAACATAGCTTACACTCATAGCTGCAAAAGATTTACCAAAAATGGAAAATCATGGACATTATATGCAAAATTAAAAAATAAATCACACTCCAGTTTAGAATTAGGGTATGCCTGCCAAGGTGGTTTCGCATGAAATACGGATCTTTAGCTAGATCGATGGTTTCGAGGGCCAGTCGTCTCAGCCGCTCACGGCGGTCAATGGCCTCGTTCTGGGCGGAGGCGGCGCCACCGCTTCCAGGCTTCGAACCCCACTCTCTATCCATTTTCTCGGGGCGGTTGTGTCACTGGGTTGATACTTGATTGGGGGAGGTTATCTCATTTGGGAGTTCAAAAATGGGCGATTCCGTGTCTAGGTTGGGTTTCTTAGGCCCCATCTTATTGGGCTGGGCTCCTGGAAAGAATGAGGAAATTGCAGGTATAGAATTTTTGAAGTGGAAATTAAAAATTCTAATAGATTAAAAATTCCAATTTCATAAATAAGATACCATGTTTAGTATTTTACAAATCAGAAACTTTTTTAATTAATTAATATATTTAAAAATTAATTAAATAAAAAAATTTCAAACCCATTTCACAATCTATCTCACCTCTCTCGCCGTCACAACTGTGCCGTGACCGGAGCACCGTCGATTCTAGGCTCCCAACACCTTTGGCCATCAACATAGTCGATCTGTAGTCACCAAAGGGGAAGAAGGACTGTGGCTTTTTGCACCTCGCCTCTGTTTGTAAGAGGCGATGTTGTAGCCGTTCAAGGCGCACGGTGGCGTCATCGACGTTTGTAGCTTAGAGCGCCGCTTTATGCAGCGGCGGAGATTGACTGTGTGGTTCGTGGAGTTTCTTTTTCTGATGAGTTTGTGGTGTATTGTGGTGGTTTTGCGATTCATGGTTTTGAGTTTTGAGTGTAGTGGATCGACGGTGGTGATTACCGTGGTGGTGTGGATCGGTGGTAGTGTGATTACAGTGGTTGTGATTTTTTGATCGGTGGTGCTGTGATTACAGTGGTGATTTTGCGTTGATGTGGTGGTTACAGGTGAGGTGGTTTTATTGGTGATGGTGTTGGTGGATCTCGTGTTGTTGGTCGTGGTAGTCTTCATAGCGGTGGTACAGAAGTTGTGGTAGTAGGTAGAATGGTGTTGGTGGATCTTGTGCTAGTGGTCGTGATGAATAAGGCAGTGGTGCAAAGGTGACTGTGGTGGTTGTAGCGATTTGGTTGATTTTGTGACAAATAATTGAACTTGCGACTTGAAAATTGTAACTCACAATTTGGGAGTCACAGTTGGTCGTGGCGGTGGTTGTGGTAGTCATGGTGATGGTTGTGGCGGTTTAGTTTATTTGTGACTCACAATTGGATATGTGACCTGAAAATTGTGACTGCGAATCGTAAGTGTTGGTGGTGGTCACAAATTATTTGGTTGACTGTGTATTAAATTGGTTAATCTGTTACCAATAAAAAGATAAATTGTGACCGAAAAATAATATATGACCTAAAAAAATTGTTAATCTGTGATCAATAATTCGATAATTTGTGACTGTATAATAAGTTATGATTTGTAATATTTGTCATTTGTGACAAATAAATAAATCATGACTAATAAGTTTTTCGATTTGTGACTGATGAATAAATTGTGACCTATAAAATTTTTTGAGCTGTGATTGTAATATAATTTCTGATATAAAATTTCAAATTTGTGACAAAAAAATAATAAATGATTAATTAAATCGTTAATTTGTGGCCAAATTATATTAATTTGTGACTTAAATATATTTAATTACTAAATTAATTAATTAAATTATAAATAATTTTTAATATAAATCTAGTTTTTGAAATTTGAAACTTGTTTTTTATTAAAATCTGCTAAAAAATTTAATTTCAATCTGCACAAAGAAGGGGCTAAATTCCACAACCATTTATTGCAACAAAACGAAAGTTTAATAAATAGAAAGAAGAAGACGAAAAAAAGAAATCAAAAGCAAATAATTCATACTTCAAAACACAAAACACAGAGAAAGATTCTCAGAATTTCCAAAAATTAACAAATGAAAAAAATATTTCATGGCACCAACTTCAACCGCCACAAAGGGAAATACAACTGCAAAGAAATAACTCCTCACATTAATGAAAATCCAAACTCCAGTATAAAAAAAAAAAAAAAAAAAAAAAATTGTTTCGTTTTAACTAGAAAAGTCAAAGTTAAAACCTAGATTTATATAGTCAATCGGCAACTCTCTCTCTCACACATCCACCATTTGAACCTAGGTCCTAATATTATCTGCCATTACCATTTACTTACCCACCATCACCGTAATCGACCACCACGGCACCACTTTATAGTCTTCACTGTTTGAATAAACAAGCCCCACCAATTTGAATAAGTCCCATTACAATAAGCGTCCTAGATTTTGAAAAAGAAAAAAAATGTTTTGCTTTGCTTTCACTCTTCCATCGGCCACCACATCACTGCCATTTCTCACTTCCCTGTGCCATCTCTATGCTAATTTGCATATTTCTGTCATTCTACTGTCCGCATATTTCCAACTTCTGGATCCATCCACTGCCGTCTGCTACTCTACTTGAAGGTGTGTCACATTATCATTTGATTTTAGTTATTTTCTTCCAATTTCTAGTCTTTGCAATTTAGTTAATATTTATTTCTGATTTATGTATTACTCATTCTTACCAAATGCCAATGTTACCGTTAATTGTGTTTTCTAATTTAGTATTTTCCGATTTAGGGATTTCTGATTTAGGGCTTTCTTATTTATATGTAAATTGATTTAGCCCCCGTTTGAGCCCCATTATTTCTCATTACATTAAATTAAATTTTTCTCTCTCCTACTTTTAACCACACAATTTTCAATAAAATAATATTACACGTAAATCAAAAAATTTTCAACCACTCATTTTTAAAAAAAATACTATTCATCTCATTATAATCTACAAATAATGGGGCTCAAACGGGGGCTTAGAATGATTGAAATTTTTGATTAATATGTTCGCAATTTGGTAGGTATGACCTAGAAGAAGAAACTGATTTAGGAATTTCTAATGTGGTTGATTTTTTGTTTGTATCAGTTATAGACAAATACTTTAAATGTAAATCTACGCTTTCCTATGATGTGCAAAATTCAGTAAAAGGAATGTTCATGAGAAAAGAGATGAAAATGATGTTGATGTTGCAGAGCTACCCTCGGATCCTGAATTGAGATTTTCAATACAGAATTATGGTGTTAATATTCGAAACGTAATTCGAAGAGCATATGTGCAAAGGGGTCATTGTCAGCCTCGCAATCATGCATTCTCACTCACAAGAATGGGTATCAAGGGTAGCAGATTTTGTGTTTCGTGGTATAATTAGCATCCTACTTGGTTGGAAATTGGAATGTAGTATACCAAAAGAAGCAATTTTTTGCTTTTACTGCTATCTTTTCAGTTTAACTGGTAGTTCATTTGTTAGTGACGTATTTTCAAATTGAAAAAAGAAAGAATATGTTAAAAAATATGTTGGGACTTCAAGAAGTGCACACAATCAAGCTCGGTCAAAATGACTTGTTCAAGAATAAAGAATAAAGTATTCGATCATGTCTCGTTAAGCAATTGCATCAAGCTTGAATAGATTATTGAATTTGATTGAATGTGTCAATTGATTGTGTTCTATTTCTTCTACGACAAGGGATGGTATTTCGTGGACACGATGAATCTAAAGATTCAAACAATCAAGGCAATTTTCTTGAACTATTGCATTGATTGTGTGATCCTAATATTGAGATTAAGGCCGTTGCTTTGACAAATGCACTGAGAATTTCAAGTTAACATTACCAAAGGTGCAAAAAGATATTGTGAGTGCTATTGCTCATGAATGTTAATGACGTATTTTCAAATTGGAAAAAGAAAGAATATATTAAATAACATATTGGGGCTTTAAGTAGTGCACACAATCAAGCTCGGTCAAATATGAATTGTTCAAGAATCAAGAATAAATTATTCGATCATGTCTCATTAAGCAATTGCATCAAGCTCGAATAGATTATTGAATTTGATTGAATGCGTCAATTGATATGGTTTTGTTTCTTCTAGGACAAGGGATGACATTTCGTGGACATGATGAATCTAAAGATTCAAATTTCAAACAATCAAGGAAACTTTCTTGAACTATTGCATTGATTGATCATAATATTGAGATTAAGGTCGTTGATTTGACGACTGCACCTGAGACTTTCAAATTAATATCACCAAAGGTGCAAAAAGATATTGTGAGTGCTATTGCTCATGAATGTCTAAATACGATTATCAAAAATGTTCATTATAGTTTCTTCTCAATTTTAGTTGATGAATCTCGAGACATTTCGATGAATGAGGAAATGTCAGTTTTCATTCGTTATGTGATGAATGGGCTTGTATTGAAACATTTTATTGGTGTCTCGTATTTCGAGTATCACATTTGTCTAACTTAAGGCTGCAATTGATCAATTATTCTCAATGTATAGTTTAAGTATATCTAATTTGAGAAGTCAGAGATATGATGGTATTAGTAACATACGAGGTGAGTATAATGACATCAAAGCACTTATTTTGAAAGAAAACCCAAGTGTTTACTACATTCGTTGCTTTGCTCATTAACTTCAACTAGCTCTTTTAGTTGTGGCATAGAAACATCCGAAGATTGAAACTTTCTTCATTATAGTACACAAATTGGTGAATATTGTCATAGGATTGGTTAAACAAAGTGATTTAATTTGAGAGAACAAAAGATTAAAAATTCTTGAATCACTTGGTGTTGGTGGAATATTAAGCGGATGGGGTCTAAATCAAGAAAATACTCTTCAGCAGCCTTGTGATACACGTCGGGGCTCTCACTATAGTTGTTTAATTAACTTGATTGTCATGTTTTCAACCATAGAAAACGTTAGTGAGCTAATTTCTATTGACACTACAAGATCGGAAAAAGAGGTGATACATGTATTTCGTTGGGGTTGATATTAAAATTTGAATTTGCATTTAATCTACATCTCTTGAAAAAGATTTTACGAATTTCAAAAGAGTTGTCAACAACATTACAAAGAAAAGATCAAGATATTGTCAATGTTATGAAATTGAGGCAAATATATAAAGCACAGCTCCAAGCCATGAGGGATGATGCATGAGATTATTCTTTTGGAATGGTTTGTTGGTTCTAGAAGCTCACAAGATCAAAGTTCCCAATATAGATGATATGTTCATAACTCTAGGTTGTTTACGGCATGAGATGATGACAAATTTGTATCATTTTCATGTGGAAATGTTTTATGTCATCATTGATATACAACTTCAAAAGTTGAA